CCCTAAATAACAGAAAAATAATTTTCAATTTAGTATTCTAGCTGGCTCTGATATCTACTACATAATGAATAAAGTCTTATTACCATGCTGGCTAATATCCTCACGTATGTGTACTTCCATGCTTTTCCTATTCAGCCACACATGTATCAGTAGTCTTATTCTATATTTTTAACATTAATGATATCATGGTGTATTACAGGTATATTATTAGCCTTTGCTACTCAGCAATCTATCTGAGAAATTTTCCCATATAAACATGTATAATACTACCTCATTCTTGTTAAACTGCTACATGCTATTTCCCAGTACGGATGTTACTAGTGTTAATTTAACCATCCCTCCTACTGATAGACATTTGTTTCAGGTATCATCCATAAAAATGATATGGTACAAATCTAATTCTCTAAGAATAGACTTTGAAAAGGAGATTTTCTTAAGCATATAGTTGGAGCATTTTCGTACTTTTAGGAAGTACTGCGAAACTATGCTGCAAAGTGGCTGCACCTGCTCAGAATGTACCAGACTCTGAAGTCAGACTGCCTGGTTGACTTCAGAGTCTGCTGAAGTCTTATGCTACTTACAGGTAAAAAATCTCTAAATTACTTCTATGAGGTTTAGTTTCCTTATTTGCAAAATGGGGAACATAACAGTAATTGCTCCACAGAGTTGAAGAATAATCTATTTAATACATGTAAAGCAAATAAAACAGAGCCTTGTGAATAATAAATGTGCAATAAATGTGAAATGGATCTTCTTTTCATTATTTAGGGATCATTTGCATGTTCTCCTTTATGAATTTTCATTTGTCCATTTTCAATATGGTCACTATTTTTTTCTTACTGAAGAAAAAAATTCTTTCTATAAGATTCTTCAAAGAGTTACTAATTACAATACTTATAACATATTTTTCAAATATTTTCTCCTAATCTGAAATTTAACTTTTCATAGTTACTTTACTGAATATAAGTATTTAATTTTGATGTAATCAAGTTGTCCATCTTTTCCAGATGACTGTAAAATATTTCTTCTTTTTATAAGACTGTTATATTTTATGTCTTATTTACAGCCACCACACTTTTACTTATTTTAAAATATTTTGTTCTTTAATCAATGTGGAATTTAGTGTTTTGAATGAAATGAAGTAGAAGATCTAAGTCTATTTTTTTCAAATAAACAGCTAATTTTTCTAGTACAATTCTTTCCTCTACTGATCTGAAATGTCATCTTTAATCAAAAACAAATCCCATGTACATGATCCCCCAACTTCCGACAGTTTGACTTAAGATTTTTTGACATTATACTAGTGCAATAGCAATATGCACTCAGTAGCAATGTACTTTAAGCACCCAATTATAACTACTCTGTTTTTCACTTTCAGTATAGTACTCAATAAAAGTACATGAGATATGCAACACTTTATTACAAAATAGTCCTTGTGTTAGAAGATTTTGAACAGCTATAGGCTAAAGTAGGTGTTCTGCATTAATTTAAGGTAGGCAAGGCTAACCTATGATGTTTGGTAGGTTAGGGGTATTCAACATATTTTGACCTAGGATATTTCCAGTTTATGATGCATTTATTGGGATGTAACCCCACTGTAAGTTGAGGCACATCTTTAGGTATTAGTCTATATACTCTCTAATCAGTTCCATTAATGTATACGTTTAGCCTGCATCAATATCACACTCCTTAAAATAGCTTTAGAACATGTCTTGCTAGCCAGTAAAATAAATGTCATCTGATAATTTTTTTATATAAATTTTAAATCCTTTTTGCATTATATTAAAATACTTTTGTCATTACACTGTATTTGGTAAGTTATCTGAAGAGGACTGTCATTTTTACAATATGGAACAGTAATATTATTCAACATTTGTTTATATGGTCCGTTATGCCCTTATATAAAATTTGATAGTTCTTTCCATGATATACATTTCTCAGTATTTTATTCCTGGGTATTTTATTTCTATTACAAAACAGTATCTTTTTTTCTATTACATATTCTATTTGATTTGTGTCAATGATTAGAATATCTAGCTTTTCTTTCCTTTTTAAATATATTTCATCAAAGCAATATATGCATTTAATTTTTAAAAAGCAAATAGTATAAAGGGCATAATGACAATCAGTAAATCCTCGCTCTACCTTTCTCATTTCTCAGTTCATCAACTTATACCAAAACTTACACGTGTTTGTTTTTTATTTTCTTTTTCTTTCTTTCCTTTTTTTTTTTTTTTTTTTTGAGACAGAGTCTCACTTTGTCGCCCTTGGTAGAGTGCTAAGGAATCATAGCTCACGGCAACCTCAAACTCTTGGGCTCAAGCAATTCTCTTGCCTCAGTCTTCCAAGTAGCTGGTACTATCAGTGCCTACGACAACACCCAGCTATTTTTAAAGACAAAGTCTCGCTTTTGTTCAGGCTGGTCTCAATCGTGTGAGCTCAGGCAATCCACCCACCTCAACCTCCCAGAGCACTAGGTTTATAGGTGTGAGCCACCATGACTGGCCTAGTTATTTTTCTTAATATACTTTTTGCCTTCACACTTGTTAGCTGTACTGTACATTATCAAGGTTGGTAACATTTGCATTCTATTCTGTAATACTGGTAATAGTTAATTCTTCTTTGCTTTGCCTAAGGACTGACTCTAAAGCTGACAACCAATATTTATATTATTATAACTATTTAAATACTGTTCTATTTCTTTAAAGCCTAGATCCATGTGACAATGTTCAAATGAATTCTCCTCACATTCCCAGAAACTCTTCAAATCATGCCACATCTGAGGCTGCTTCATATTAAAAGCATGCTTTCTTATAAGTTTTCAAATCTTTCCTTTTCTCTTCAGTTTCTGACCATCATTGGTTTTTTGGCAAAGGATGAAGAAATGTATACACTCTATGTATGCCATCATGTTAATTTCCTACAGCTTCCTACTCAGTCCATCTACTACTTAAAATCCATTTAACTTAGCTGGAGGTCTACTCACTTCCTACACTAATTTGGAGGGTTTGCCTCTCATTTGGGCAATTCTTGTACAATTTACCTTTCTTTAAATTTTTAGTGCATTTCTCATCCTTTTTTTTAGTGTAACCCATATCCATATTCATGTTGGTTTTATTTTATGAATGCAAAAGTTTCTTAAATATTTTTGAGGATTTTAATATTTTTAGGTTCTGTTCTGTACCTGGAATGCCACACTAGTGCTACATAAATTGTCTAAAACAATTCCAGTGACGGCTGGGTGCAGTGGCTCATGCCTATAATCCCAGCACTTTGGGAGGCCAAGGTTGGAGAATCACTTGAGCCTAAGAGCTTGAGACCAGGCTGGGGAACATAGCGAGACCCTGTCTCTACAAAAAAATTAAAAATTAGCCAGGCGTGGTGGTGCATATCTGTAGTCTTAGCTGCTTGGGAAGCTGAGACAGGAGGGTTGCTTAACCCAAACGTTTTTTTTTGTTTTTTTTTTGAGACAAAGTCTCACTATGTCACCCTTGGCAGAGTGCTGTGACATCACAGCTCACAGCAACCTCAAACTCTTGGGGTTAAGCGATTCTCTTGCCTCAGCCTCTCAAGTAGCTGGGACTACAGTCATCCTACACAATGCCCTGCTATATTTTTTTTTGTAGTTGTCTTTGTTGTTTAGCTGGCCTAGGCTGGGTTTGAACACGCCAGCCTTGGCATGTGGCTGGCGCCCTACCCACTGAGCTACGGGCACCACCACTTAACCCAAATCTTCAAGGATATAGTGAGCTATGATCTAGCCACTATACTCCCGCTTGAGTGACAAAGTAAACCTCTGTCTTTAAAATAAATAAATAAATGTGAAGTCACAAAGTGAGACTGTTTTTAAAAAGTAAATAAATAAATAAATCTGAAGTCATTTAATCGTGTCCCTAAATCTCATATGATACAATTTATATTTATTTTGGCCAATAGCAAAATCTTTGCTAATTGTATGTGAACCTCAAAGGAGATGGAGTAAACCTGCCCAAGCCTATGTGTACAATTAGTAGTACCAAGCCAAGTCTGTGACTTGGATCTCCCTTTTCCTGATTCAAGGAAAACACATCTTCCTAGGAAATGGGACAGCAAAATCTGCTGCCCACCAAAGTCAGCTCTCTTCTTCGCCTGTCTCTTAGGAGTCAATCTTCCCAGAATTCTACCCTTGGCCTTTCTTTGCTTGTCCCTTTCTTCCTCCTCCCTAGAGCCTCCTACATGTGTAACTGTTTCCATCACCATCTGTATTCTTATGGCTCCGAAATCTTCATAACCAACACACATCTCCTAAGGTTCAAGCTTTTATTTTTAATTAATTAATATCGTCATCCTTGTCTCTAAAATCAGTTCTTCTTTCTATAAGCCATAATAGCAGTGGCATCTTCCTGACCAACCAACCCAACAGTCAAGTAGTCTTAGTCTTCCTCCTCCTTACTGCCCCTACAGCTGCCTAGCCAACCAGGTAAGCCCTGTTGAATTCATCTCTGAAATATTTCTCATATATCTCTATACCTCTCCATCACCTCTTCCAGCCATTCAAAGGTTTCTAGCTCCTGGCTTACTCATTTAATAAAGTAATAGAAGAGGGGGAAAAAAAGGTAATAGAAGAGGATTCCAATTTGGGTTTATACTAATATACACAAAAAGACAAAGTTTATTAGTAAACTAATTTATCCTATCAGCATCAACTCACAAATTTTTTCCTTCAAGTTAATAAAGAAATATAGGCTCGGCGCCTATAGCTCAACCGGCTAAGGCGCCAGCCACGTACACC